GCTGCAGACTTCCGTGTAGGGGCCCCCGACCCTGCAGATCCTAACATAGAACGAGCCGAAAGAAACCCCACACTTCACTCTAACTGCAGTTACCTTGTAGGAAATAGTGCATCTGACTTCTCTCTTTTCCTGGGGGGGAGGGGGGTGGTGATCCTTAAGTGCGCATCCTTGGCAACTCAGCTGCAAGCCCCCGTCCCCCCCCCCAGCGCAAAATGGCAAGGACCAAAAAAAGGAAAGCTTCTGCCCTCGTGACCTTTGCTAGTGACGAACTTAACTTCGGCAATCAGCCAACCCTACGCCTAGAGTTCAGGGTTCAGGGTTCAGGGTTCAGGGTTTAGGGTTTAGGGTTTAGGGTTCTACAGTAAAGGTAGTACCCTTGCTACGGCAGCTTCATGCAAGTTGCTCAACACACAACCAGTCTTATGGCCTGTGGTACGACCTCGACCCCCTAGAGGCGACAATGAGTGGTTTGGGGTTGCCATCTGACCTCAAAGCCCCAAACGCTATAGGGGTGAGGGTTAAGGGTTTAGGGTCTAACCCCAAACCCTAAACGGCAGTCCCCGCCTCTGCCAGTCATCGTTGCCTTAGCTGAGCTCGCTTACTTGGATACAATCGCAAGCAACGCTGGCTGGGAGAAACTAAGGTTTAGGGCTCAGGACACTTCATGGGCACTCTGCTCCCCCAACCCCCAACCACGCCCATGCCCTGCACCCCACGCCTCCGCTGAAAGAGAGCGAAAGGTCAGAAGGTTCGGGACAAAAGGTTCTCTGCCTCGTGCCACCTGAATCCGAATCCGAGCCCACAAACCTTGAACGAACCCTACACCTACACTCCTAACCCCTAACCTGAAACCCTACCCCCCGAAACCCTACACTAAACCCCTAAACCCTCCACCTCTGTAAACACTAGCGCCCTCCAACAAGACCCCGAAACGCCTGAAAGGTTTGTAGGATTTAGGGTTTTTAGGGTTTCGGGTTTTTGGGTTTGGGTTTAGGGTTTCTGGGGTAGACCCTAAACCCTAAACCCCTAAACCGGCAACCCCCAAATCTCTAAACCCTAAAACCCCAAAACCCCGGCTCCGGAACCAAAACCCCAATTCTCTAAACCCCAAACCCCAAAAACCCAAGACTCGGCTAAAGCCTAAACCCGAAACCCTAACCCTAAACCCCAAACCCCAAACCCTAAATAGCAAACAGCCTGGCTGCATATCTCTCTGCAGTCACCTCGGTGGCTCTCGAGATTGTTTTGGGCGGGCCCTCTCTTTAAGAATCGGATTTCGGTGCTGGGTTTAGGGTTAAGGGTTAAGGGTTAAAGGTTAAGGGTTAAGGGTTAAGGGTTTAGGGTTTAGGTTGAGGGTTGAGGGTTGAGGGTGGAGGGTTGAGGGTTTAGGGTTTAGGGTTAGGCATTAAGGGCTTTCAGGTTTCAAGGGCTTTCAGGTTCAGACCCTAAGCCCTAAGCCCTGAACCCTAAACGATAAAAGGCTTCAGGTTTTCCGGCTCGGGGGTTTGGGTTCTCGGTAAAGGGCTTGCGCTTTGTGCTTGACTTGACGTGTTTATTGCAAGGGAAACTGGCAGTGAAACAAGAAATCCCACAGCCATCAACCCTAAACCCTGAACCCCAAACTCCTTAATGCCTAAACCATTCTAGTCGGAGCTACGATTAGGGGGACTCCTGCGGAGAAAAACACAGGAAGAAGAGGCCCGAAAAGCGGTGGCGCCCTATGAGAGGTCTCCCTAGTTCTACCTATTGCAAAGCCCTACACCCCCTGATCCCTAAACCCTAAACCCTAAGCCCTAGACCGAACCATCCCTAAACCCTACCGATAGTAAGGTCAGGCGGGCTTCAGGATTTAGGGTTTAGGGTTTAGGGTCAGGAGGGCTTAGCATAAACGAGCTTGGAGAGGGTAAAGGTTTGGGATGAGGATCTGGAAAACAAGAACGGAAAGCCCTAAACCTTGGTAAGAAGCACCACTGAAGCAAATCACCCCCTCCAGCCTAAAAAAACCCAAGCCCTAAACCCTAAACCCTAAATCCGAAACCCTAAAAGACCCTAAACCCTAACCCTCCGCTCGCCAACTTCTCTCTCTGCACCCAGGCGGCAAAGAACTCGCCGAAAATGCCAAAGCGCTCTTTGCCCAGGGACTTGGCGTGCTCTCCTTGTCATAAGAGTTTAGGGTTTAGGGTTTAGGGTTTAGGGTTTAGGGTTTAGGGTTTAGGGTTTAGGGTTTAGGGTTTAGGGTTTAGGGTGTAAGGTTTGAAGTTCAGGCAGCCAGGAGGCTTCGAACTCGCGTGCGCAGCCGCCCAAAGCCGGAAAACCCAAGAGCCGAGCCCCCCCCCCCTTAGACCCCTTGTTGAAGAACCCTAAACCCTAAACCCTAAACCCTAAACCCTAAACCCTAAACCCCCAAAGAAACCAAGAAGATAAAAAGGAAGAAAAGGAGGGGGGGGGAGGGGGGGGGGGGCGACCCCTTGTTCCAAACAAATGAAGATAAAAAGGAGGAAAATGGAGGGGGGAGGGGGGGGGGGGGGGGGGGGGGGGGGGAGGTTCTTCGGCAAACTGTAGCTTATAGGGCCTACAGAACGTCCATGGAGTTTAGGCAGCTCGGAGGGCTTGGGCTTTTGAAATCTTCGGGAACCCTAAGCCCGAAACCCTAAACCGGCTGCAAAGGATTTGGCTTTTAGGATTTAGGATTCAGGGTTTAGGGTTTATGGTTTGGAGTTTTAGGGCCAGCTCTTAGAGTTTCAGGCCTGCAGCGTGAGCCAGTTTAGAATTTCGGTGAACCCCCAAAAAAGCGAAGCACCATACAAGCTATCCAACATGTACATGACAAACGTACGACGTATGTACTTAACCCCGTGTGTATTGTATATATATATATATACACACAGGCATATATTCATTATAAATATACATACATACATATATACACAACTAGAATATTCACATATATATATATATACAAATATATTCTCTCACACACACACACACATATATATATATATGTATGTATGTATACGTGAGTTCTAATGCGTACATATATATATATATATATATATGGTCACCCCCCCCCCCCTCGACAGACCCCGGAATTGTATTTCCGATCTGTCCAGGAAGCGGGGGGGGGGGCAGAGCACCACTCCAATATTCCTCGAGTTTCCAAAAATCCAAAAATCCAAAAATCCCAACCCAAGTTTAGGATTTTTGGAAACTCGAGGAATTTGCTCAAAATCCAAAAAAACCCAAAATTCCTCGAGTTTCCAAAATCCCAAAATCCAAAAATCCCAACCCCAGTTTCGGATTTTTGGAAACTCGAGGAATTTGCTCAAAATCCAAAAAAACCCAAAATTCCTCGAGTTTCCAAAAATCCAAAAATCCAAAAATCCCAACCCAAGTTTCGGAATTTTGGAAACTCGAGGAATTTGCTCAAAATCCAAAAAAACCCAAAATTCCTCGAGTTTCCAAAAATCTAAAAATCCAAAAATCCCAACCCCAGTTTCGGATTTTTGGAAACTCGAGGAATTTGCTCAAAATCCAAAAAAACCCAAAATTCCTCGAGTTTCCAAAAATCCAAAAATCCCAACCCAAGTTTCGGAATTTTGGAAACTCGAGGAATTTGCTCAAAATCCAAAAAACCCAAAATTCCTCGAGTTTCCAAAATTCCGAAACTTGGGTTGGGATTTTTGGATTTTCGGATTTTTGGAAACTCGAGGAATTTGCTCAAAATCCAAAAAAACCCAAAATTCCTCGAGTTTCCAAAAATCCAAAAATCCAAAAATCCCAGCCCCAGTTTCGGATTTTTGGAAACTCGAGGAATTTGCTCAAAATCCAAAAAACCCAAAATTCCTCGAGTTTCCAAAATTCCGAAACTTGGGTTGGGATTTTTGGATTTTTGGATTTTTGGAAACTCGAGGAATTTGCTCAAAGTCCAAAAAACCCAAAATTCCTCGAGTTTCCAAAATTCCGAAACTTGGGTTGGGATTTTTGGATTTTTGGATTTTTGGAAACTCGAGGAATTTGCTCAAAATCCAAAAAACCCAAAATTCCTCGAGTTTCCAAAATTCCGAAACTTGGGTTGGGATTTTTGGATTTTTGGATTTTTGGAAACTCGAGGAATTTTGGGTTTTTTTGGATTTTGAGCAAATTCCTCGAGTTTCCAAAATTCCGAAACTTGGGTTGGGATTTTTGGATTTTTGGATTTTTGGAAACTCGAGGAATTTTGGGTTTTTTCTTTTAGGGGTTCTGCACTCATGAGAAATATGAAATATATTTAAAAACACAGAGAGCTCTGCTAGCAACAGCTTTTGGAGTTGCTTACGGAAGTGCGAGGAAAAGTGCTTGATGCTGCGCTTCTGCCCACACACACATGTCGCAACGCTTTGCTGCTGCACTACACGTCCATATGTGCATGCTGTCTGACATAGTGCCTTCACATATCAAGTTACTTCTTGTACGCCCCCACGCGTTGCTTTCTCGTCATGGATCCCGAGAATGTAAGCCTCGCAAATGCGATCGAAGCCACCGCGAACCTCTTGATTCGGCAACTTCCTCAACCAGTCCGCGTCGGGCCTATGCCACTTGGGTCTATCAGTCCACTGGTGCTGCCACTTCGTCATCTTGAGTGTCGTGCGGTCACAATCAAACATTTCTTCGACATCGTCTTTGATCACGAAGGAGTCATCAATCACGATGCCTTAGGGCCTATTCTTCGGGACCAGGCATGGGATGGACTGCCTCCTCCCTTGGGCCTCAAAACTAAACTCGAAGCCAAATACGTCATGCAGCTCTTCTTCCTGCCTCAGTCCAACGGGAAAACATGCATTGTCAAGCATTTCTACGTCCCAGACGACAAGCTCAAGTTGCCCCTCATCCACGAGGCAGGCTACGGGACCCTCTACGAAATTGTGTGGGGGCAGAATGCAAAGAACACGAAGAAAGCCTTGCAGTTCATGCTTGAGCAGATGGGAGGTACGCAATATCGTATGTTTGGACTTGCTCCTGACATGAGAAAGGGCAACAAAGCCGTCCCTGAGAAATCGGAGGAGGAACTTGATAAAGGGTTTCAGTACATCAGAGATGAGGGAGAGCGGGACAAGGGGAATCTGAAGCAGCTACTTTGGATTCAGAAAAACATCAGCGGGAATACGCCCATCAAGGGATGGAGGGATGGTTTGGTTCAGCGTTGCCTCGACAGTCTCGCTACGGATGCCACAATGGCTGAGCTCATCACTCGCTCGGACCTCATCATTTCCGATTTCGAAGATGCAATCCAGGACATCATTTCTAAAATTGCCCCTTACCTTCGCGAGCACGCACTGTGGATTCTTGGCGAGCCCGGTAAAGGGAAAACCCCTTTGGGTAGGGTGATCGCAATGATGTTCTCTCGCTATCATGGTGGTCGAGGCAGTTATCGCAGTGCTAGTGACTTTGACTACTTTCGCGGGTGTCCCTTCTCCAAGGAAGTCTCTGCCATATATGACGACGGGGAGATTGGCTTAGAGCCAGTCAAAAAGAAAAAAGCTTTCTCTGATGTGGCAGACACTGAGACCCTCACCCGTGAGCGCTGGACTGCTGCGAAATTCAAGCAGAACCAGCTTCGTGTCGTCATTGACAATGCTTATGAGCCCGCACATGAACCCCCTATCGAGCCAGGTCTAGACCCTGTGATTGACCACGATACCTTCATCAAGCTCATTCGTCCGGCATTGGGAAACTTGTCTATATATAGTTGTGTTTTTTTCAAAATTACAGATAAGAAGTATAAATGCTTCAACACCATATGTTGTTTGTCTTGCTCTTGGAATGCTATTCTCGTGATTTCATAAGGATGCTCTATTTCTATACATTGACTTCTTTACTATTCTCTGTTCTGCGTTTTGCCTTTGTAATGTTCTTCTCTTGGTTTCGCAAGGAGACATGTCAAGTGTGGACATCATGGCTATCTTGAAGCGCTCAGCATTCATCCTCGTGTCAAAAACATCCGTGTACTGGCGTCTTCCAGGGCCCATTGAGAAGGACGTGAACCGCATGAGTTGGCTTCTCCCTGATCTCGTCAAGCCGTCCTCCAAGCACATCATCGCAAACTTCAGAAAGAAAGGTCCCCCCCCTGCAGACCAGGAGAGCCGTCTTCTGTGGGAAAACACTTGGCTGCAGGAGGCCATTCGTCGGCATGATAGTCCAGACGCTGTCCCTCCGCCTGCACCACTGTTAGAAGCAGTTCGCGTCAAGCGTGAGCGCATCACATGGGCAAGGGCTTTGTCAGCACAGTCTCTCCATGCACCCATCGACTTGGAATCGCCGTCTCCTAAGAAGGTCAAGGTCAACGATCTCGCAGTTCGCAACCCTGACTTTCTTCATCTTCATGAGAATTCTGATGTCGAGGAAACGAAGGATGGGGATGACGTAATTCCAAGGGTGGGCGAAGCGCCAGATGGCTGCGAGGAAGGGGGTGCCCTGTCTACTCTTGAGAGGGACCTAGAGGAAATCATGGATGACATGCCTGGGGACCAGATGGATGTGGCATCCTTCGGCAGTGAGTCGTAAGTCTTTCACACAATGACAGATCACATATGAGCGCATTGACGGGCTGCTATACTTATTTTAGCCTTTCAGCCATAAGATATTACTCTGTTATTCAATAAATTTTTAGGGGGTTGGGTGTAGGATTTAGGCGTGCGGGTTTAGGGTTTTTGAACACGTATTCCTCAAGATCAGAATTAACATATTCATATATAACATTTAAACTAGATTGCTAGAAGCCCCATACTTTTCTTATAAGACCTTTGTTTGTGAAATGAAAGCAAGCCCGTTCACGAAGACAGCCTCACGCAGTTTTGACAGAAGCCTTGCCGCCGCAGAAAATCGAACTGACATCTATGCAACGAAATACATTGCAAGCACCCTCAGAGATGTTGCCTGTGTGGTCGCCTCAGTTTTGTATAGACCAGAAAAAGGTCCTTAGTTTCACTTCTGGTACAAACCAGTGTAGCACCATGGCCAAAAAGTCATATGCCAAGAGCACCAAGAGGAAGTCAAAAGCTCCCTGGCCCGCTCCCAAGCGCGGGAAAATGCGGGCTGTATTGAAAAAGCCTTCCAAGAAGAACACGTTCACTTCCGTCCCCTACGTTCGTCATGGCAACGTCTCCGAAAAGTTTCGAGCACACAATCAACGGTGGGGTCGTTCCATTCACTCCTTCATGACCATGTCCTACCTTGACTTGGTCAAGACACTCCAGAAAGACAAGATACTACCGGACTGGCAGGGTTGCACTTGTCCTCGATGTGGGGAGGGAACAATCGGCAAGCTAAAGTTCGTGAAGTCTCGTGAGTCCTGGATGTATCAGTGTAGTGGGAAGCGGTGCAAGAAGTACTTGCAAGTGGACGACTTTCACCCCATCTTCTTTCGCGGGAACGGCAACTCGGTCACCCCCTTGAAGGCTCAGGCCGCCATCCTTTACGCAGCCGTCGCCGGTGTTCCCATTAACTCCGCACACCTTATCATGGACGTCGATCACAAGCCCGTGGAGCGCATCTACAACAATTTAGATGTGGCTCGGGCAAGGTATGTGGAGCAAGAGGAAAAGTCCATTACCTATGGTCGCCCCAATGACTCCACCTGGGTAGATGTTGAGGCTGACGAGGTCGATTTGGGGAAGGGTTTGGAGGATGCCACTGATGGCCAAGGTAAAGTCGTCAGATGGGAACAATGGTGTGGTTTGGTAGAAAGGGGCAGGCCAGCATCGCTACGCTTGTTTCGCTTGAACCCCCCTGTCACTAAGCCACGAGCGCCAGGACCAGGGCCAATCCGAAAGTATGACTGGCGTGCGATTGGGACCCCCCTTCTCAGTGATCGTCATGTGGTTTTGCACACAGATGGAGCCAGGGCATACAAGCTGAAGCTTCCTGGAGTTTGCCATTGTAATGTCGTGCACAAGAAAAAAAGAACGATTGTCAACAAGAAGGCGGGTTTTAAATCATCTTATAAAACATTAGCTATTTTATTTTTCATAACAAAACTATATTATCTTGCACTCCATACATGTCTATGTGTTTTTTATGATAAACAGGTCGTTTGGGTCAAGCCGCACTACACCAAAGTGTACAATCTCAAGCTGCCCAACAAAAAGACTCTCAAGGTCAAGTCCGGAACGCAGATCATCGATCGGTTCTGGGGGCATGTTCGCACACACATCAAGCACACGAGTCGAGCACCTGGCAATCTGATTCTCCGACGCAAAATCAGGGCCGCCCAGTTTACATACTGGTTCCGAACCAAGAACGCCTGGACCAGCGCGGGAGTGATGTTGGAGGCATTGTTTAACTACTGAGCTTCGCGCTGTCGTCTCGCTAGCCGACGCTCCGAAAGACTCAGAGCATTAGATTTTGAGGATTCCCCTGCAGCTGCAGCCACGCTATAAAGGTGCTATTTCGTGCACTCTCGCTTGTGTTGTGTTTCTGCCGAAATACGATTATGAATGCTACCCCTTCGGCTTACAGTATGCGTCCTTCTCACATCCCTCTGCATCTTTCATAGCCAACACAGAACCGTATCAATCGAAAATACATATATGTACAAATGCCCTGTTGTGTGTTAACGGGTCTGGCTACTGTGTGCAGCCATGCTGTCCGTCGCGCCCTCAGCCTTTTTTTCGCTTCCGGGGTCTGTCGAGGGGGGGGGGGTGAGCATATATATACACGAAAACTTAGTTTTTGTCAGAGGCTGACTTGGATCCCAAGTCTCGCATCGCCGGCGCCCAGACTTTGTAGAAGTTCAAAGGTACCTCATGGGGGTTTAGGGTTTGGGGGTTTAGGGTTTAGGGGTTAGGGATTAGGGTGAGGTTTTAGGGTTTAGGGGCTTAGGGGTCTAGAGGCTTAGGCTTACACACGGTTTGGGTGATGGCCTGTGCTTCACACAGAAAGGCCAGACCCGAAGCCATCCGAGCCTCAAGTGAGAAGCTCAAGACCCCTGAAATGAAACAGTAAATCTTCAACCTGGAGGTTCATGGTACTTAGTAACAAGGTATAACTGTGCTTATAACCCACTTATAATCCCCCTACGTGCCCTAATATGGTTGTAAGATGTTATAAGTACAGCTGTCAGTACAGTTATACTTGGTTAGTAAGGACCATGAACCTCCAAGTAGGGTGCAGGCTGGGGGATGTGAGGCTTTTGGGCTGTGGGAGTGGGCAGTTGAGGCCCCAACCATAAAAACCCTGAACCCCGAACCCTAAACGCCTTTTCTACAGCCGGCCCGAAATCCTAAACCCTAAACCCTGAACCCTAAACCCTAAACCCTAAACCGTAAACCCTAAACCTTCCTCCCCCCCCTCCCTCCCCGCCTGCATCGGCGTGTCCACGCGGAAGCCATCGATGTCTGCGCTCGAGATCAGGGCTTTGGTCATTGCAATGTACTTCTTCTGCACCTTCGAGTCCGAAGTTCACGGGTGTAGGGTTTCAGGTTTATGGTTGGGGTTTAGGGGTTGGGGTGGTGCAGGGTTTAGGGTTTGGGGTTTAGGGTTTAAGGGTGCAAGGTCCAGGGAGGCAGCATGTCTCACAAGATTTAGGGTTCTAGGGTTTTGGGGTTTTACGGCTTAGGTGGGGATGTTCCCCCTTATACTAACAGTCCTTCATAGGGATTGTAATCCCCCCGATGATAAATCCCGATTCAGGACTGTTCGAGTACTCCCAAGGCTTAGGGTTTTTTGGGTCTTGAAGGGTCTGGAGCGACTTCGCAATGACGCCCCCGAAGGGAATGAACCTCGATCGGGAGTTTCGGCCCTCAAGTCAGGGTTCAGGGTTCAGGGTTCAGGGTTCAGGGTTCAGGGTTCAGGGTTGAGGGTTTAGGGTTTAGGGTTTAGGGTTTAGGGTTTAGGGTTTAGGGTTTAGGGTTTAGGGTTTAGGGTTTAGGGTTTAGGGTTTAGGGTTTAGGAGCACTTCCCTAAGCCCGCTTAGAGGTCCCAGGCGCCCGCTCGTGCTCAAGCCTCAGGTCGTCCATGGTGCCGTAGATCTTGCCTGGGTTGGCGCTGAAAGCTTTTGAACAATACTTACATAATTATACATACATAGGGTCCCTTATATATATTTATATACATATATATCTATGCATACATATGTATATATGTACATATGGGCTCCCTTTAGAAACCAAATAAAGAAAATGTAGAACTATCCCAAAAGCCAACCCGAGTTGCCGTAGTTGATCTGCCAGGGATCGAAGTAGTCGCTCAGATCGCCTGGCACGCAGAGCCTAGACGTCAAGCCCTCAAACCCTGGCTTTAGGGTTTAGGGTCGAGGCTTTAGGGTTAGGGTTTAAGAAGGTCCCTACTACCCAAACCCAAACCTTCACGTCCTGCACCTCCCCCAAAAAAAACCAGCAAATAGCACACATGGGGTTTTACGAAAATAGGGACCCTCCCCGCCTAATTTCGGAAACCCCCAAATAACGCGGGGGAGCACCTCCCCCACAAACAAACCCCATTAAAAACAAAGAACACAATTAAAACACGGGGATAGTTTTTCTTATATATACCCTAAACCCTCAACCCTCAACCCTCAACCCTCAACCCCCCCAAAAAAAGCAGGGGAGTGGGGCCGTTGTGATGGAAGTCCGAGTCGATGTAGGTCCCTAGGCCCAGCGAGCCGTCGTCGTCGACCCATTCGCCATAGCGGCCGTACAGTGTGCCGTTGTACGTTGCGTTCGGATCCTTGGGAAGGGCTTAGGATTCAGGGTTCAGGGCTTAGGGTTTACGATTCAGGGTTCAGGGTTTGGGGCTTAGGGTTTTGCTTGGGGCTTGGGGTACTACTAGGTGAAGATCTAAGGCAAAGTATAGACCGCTGCAAACCCACGAGATCGGCTCGAAAACAGCTTGAAGCACACCCCAACCTCCTCATTAGACAGACCCTAACACCCTCCAAACCCAAACCCTCAACCAACTAAACCTTCAACCCTCAAGAGCCTGTAAGCCGAAATTGTTGTGAATCACGTCTTCTGGACTAAAGTGGCTAAAGCTTCTACAAACCCCAAGCCAACCCCAAGCAAGCAAACCCTCCACCCCCAAAGCCACCAACAATCTCCAGAGCCCGACCACCGACTGCCAAGCGCATCAGGAAACCGGAGCTTGGAACTGCACGTAGGGTTCAGCGTGTAGGGTTTAGGGTTGAGGGTTGAGGGTTTAGGGTTTAGGGTTTAGGGTTTAGGGTTTAGGGAGGGGGGTGGCGAATCCTACTTGCACCCTAAACTCCAAAAACCCAAATCCTTCAAGCCCTCCAAGCCTTCCAAAACTCCCCCTGAAAGCATTGGAAGCGTTCAAAGCCCTGAAGCCCCAAACCCTAAACCCAAAACCATAGACCCTTAAGCTTCCTCCTCCAACTTTTGTTGCCCTCCACTCCCGAACCCTCAACTCAGGTAGGGTGTTAAGCTGTAGGATTTAGGGTGCGAAGTGTCTGGTTAAAGGTTTAGGGTTTAGAGCGATGTCCCGACGAGGCACCCAGTTGTTGTCGTAGTAGAAGTCGACGTAGGGCTGCTTCCTGACTTGAAGGCTCTTACCGAGTGGTTCATAGGAGTCCTGTGGATTCAACGCCCCGCTCCCCCCTCCCCCCTCCCCTCTCCCCCCTCCCTCCCCCCCCCCCCCCCGGCAAGACTTGACCCGTGCCTCTCGTCGCCATGGGGGCCCGAAACTTGTCACAGTTGGTTCGGGTTGGGGTCGGAGCATGTGGGATCTGGGGCGAGGTGAGTTTGGCTTCAAAAGGCCTCTGCCAAACCTTTATAGTTTGACCCAAACCCCCCAAATTTCCCCTCAAAAACCGAGGCCGGACATTCCGAAACCTTAACCCATGGCCCCAACGCTGAAACCCAACACCGTCTGAGTGGCCCTTTGGGCGTGTCATGCAGCATTTCTTGCGCTTTTCGCGGGAAGAGCCTGAAGCAAAGGGCTTGAGGGGTCTTCTGGGTAAGGGTCGATTTCGTGAGCTTCCGCACTGTAGCACAAGTACAGGGGTTTGTGGGTCTCTCGCTGGTGGTTCGGAGTGGGCATACATGGGGCGAAATTTCGAAAAAAAACTGCCGAGTCCCTTATGCCAAGGCGCTCAGTGCACCCTAAGCCCGAAACCCCTCATAGCCCTTGACGATAGCCGTTACTAAGGAGAGATTTCGCGGTACCCCCTTTTGGGGGTCCCTTTGAGGGGATTCTTGTCTATTTGGGGTATCCTTGCTTATAACCAAACCCTAAAGACCCTAAACCCCACAAACAAATGTCTGGCTTCATGATGACCATGCTTATCGCCGAACCCGACAAATCCCAAACCTAAACCCTATTAAACTGCAATATGCTACTTTCGGTCTTGTGAGTTCTCCCTTCGAATGAACCCTGTGAAAAAACACGGCTTCGTGCTGGGCGAGGTGCTGATACTCTCGGGCGTTGTAATTCCTCAGCTCGGCGGCCCTCCCACATTTGCAACACACGCCGGGTTTTGGAGTTGGGGGCTGGCCCCCTTGCCCCTAATTACACCCTAAACCCTGAACCCTAACCCTCAATCCTAAACCCTGAACCCTAACCCTAAACCCTAGACCCTATAATATACCTATACCCTAACCCTAAAGCCCTAAACCCTAAAGAGCCCTGGGCGAAGTAAACCTCTTCGGGGGAGCGATGATGGATGCGCTCGGGGGCGTAAAGGAAAACTTGGCGTTGTGGGAGCCAAAACCCTCTAAATCCTCTACACCCCCTAAACCCCCCAAACCCTCTAAGCTGCCAAACCCTTCACCCCGGAAACCGTCCAACCCTGAACCGCCCAACCCTAAACCGCCTAAACCATACTAATCCCTTACACCTAAACCCTAACCCTAAACCCCGAACCCTAATCTCTACACCCTAGACCCTAAACCTAACCCCCCCCCCCCCCAAAAAAAAAGACTCACAGAGCCGTAATCCCAGAGTCCTAAACCCTCAACCTAGATCCTAAACCCTAAACCCTACCCCCCCCCCCCAAAAAAAAAAAAAAAAAAAAACTCACCAAGTCCAGGCGGCTCGTGGAAGCGCCAGGGCGCCTCACTCTCCTCGTGGCCCTCGAAGTAGAACTCATTGGCCATGTGGTTCATCACCACCTTGCAGAGGGTTCAGGGTTTAGGGTTTAGGGTTTAGGGGTTAGGGTTTAGGGTTTAGGGTTTAGGGTTGAGGGCTTAGGGCTTAGGGTTTAAGGCTTAGGGTTTAGGGTTTAGGGTTTCGGGTGGGCAGGGTTTAGGTAGGGTTCTGGGTGCACCCTTTCTCGAGTACGCTTGTCTTCAGCAAAGTAAACCCTAAACCCTAAACCCCAAACCCCAAACCCCAAACCCTAAACCCTAAACCCTAAACAAGGCTTTGGAAGGTCTGACGGGAGGATGCTGAAGCCATCCTTCGGTGCTCATGCCCCGACTGCCCTGGAAAGGTGTGTGGGTTGTGTCAAATATATACAAATCGGGAACTACATATGTAGCCATGCATCTGCAGATGCTTACGATCACACACATACTTACATACTTACATACATACATACATGCATACATGCATGCATGCATATAAACATAGAGTTACTGTTGGTAGTGTTGTTGTTAGCAGTATGACTATGGTCATTCTTGGTATTCTTAATATTAAGAGTACCTACTACTTGTTATCGGTCATGCTTTTTTTCCTTCTTTCTTCATGCTTTTCTTTGAATTTGTGTCAACGCTGGGGCCTTGTGAGCTCGGGCTTCTGGTTCCCCATGGTTTCAACGATGAAGGTCTTCCAAGCCCTCAACCCTGAACCCTGGCTTCAGGGTTGAGGATTTTGGGGCTTTAGGGCTCTGAGGTTTTTGGGGCTTTTTGCGGCTTGGCGTTTAGGGTTGGTTTTTAGGGCCTCTGGGGTTGTTAGGGCTTTTGGGGTTCAGGGTGTTAGGTGAGATCGAGTAGGGTTCCAGGGGAGTGGGCACCTAAACACCCTAAACCCTAAACCCTAAACCCTAAACCCTAAACCCTAAACCTAAACCCTAAACCCAGTAGACTCCAGCCCAGATGCGTCCACGATGACGTACATCCCAAGGTCGTGCGCCGTGGTCGTCAGCTCGCGCAGCTCCTGGAAGGGTTTAGGGTTTAGGGTTTAGGGTTTAGGGTTTAGGGTTTAGGGTTCAGGGCTTACCAATCCCGGATGATAAGGTGGGTGCATGGAGGTTATATAGGGCTGACACAGGGTCATGTAGGATTTTCTCAGTGAGGTTCAGTTTGGGCTTTGGGGCTAAAGCCTCTGGGAAATCTCGCTTGACAAAGCCTAGTGAGTCCGAAGCAAGTTGACCATAAGAACTGTGGCATGCTCCTTTCTTATTGCGGGGCTTTCTTGCCAACATAAGTCCCTTGCAACCCATACTCTGTTCATACACAGATAGATACTTCTTGCTTATGGCCTTTAATGTATGTGCATCTGTAGGATGGATATTCTGATTCAACGTGTATGTATAAATCTGTATAAACTCATACAAGTCTTTATATGTGTCTAGAACCCACTGAAAGTCCTCCAGAGTGCCCAGACGCTTGTCCAGTGCTGTGAAGTCCAGCTGGGCGTACCTGAGGGGTTTAGGGTTTAGGGTTTAGGGTTTAGGGTTTAGGGTTTAGGGTTTAGGGTTTAGGGTTTAGGGTTTAGGGTTTAGGGTCTCGGCGAGGCGGGGTTGACCGAAAAAGATGCAGAGTACCCCAACGGGTACAGGAGGTTGAAAGAATCTATGTCCAAGAGGCCTTTCCGGGATTTATGTTTTCTATGTGGGGAAGGGGGGGGGGGGGGCGTACACCTCCCAAATCATCGCTTTTGGGCATTTTGGGGCTTGGGGAGTCACCATGCTCCAGCTCAGCGTGTTCAGAATACCCCGAACCCGGCCCTCACCAGCCCTCCCCCACCCTAAACCCTAAACCCTAAACCCTAAACCCTAAACCCTAAACCCTAAACCCTAAACCCTAAACCCTAAACCCTAAACCCTAAACCCTAAACCCTAAACTGCAACAAAAAAAGTGTCTAACTGGCCCTGCCGGCCCAACAACATCAGGGCAGGTCGCTGGTGGTAGCTGTTGAAGCCTGGGACGGCTGCAGCAGGAAGCTTGAGACCCCCAAATTACAAACCGTAAAGTCCTGAGCCCTCACTGACTGAACCCTAAACCCCAAACCCCAAACACCCAAAACCCCCAAACCCCAAAATCCCAAAACCCCCAAACCCCCAAACCCCCAAACCGCCAAAACCCCTAAACCCCTAAACCCATAAACCCCAACCTCAAACCTGAAGCCCTAAACCCAAAACCAAAAACCCTGAATCCAGAACCCAAAGCCCCAAACCTCAAGCCCTTAGAAGACCAATGCCTCATCCCTGAAACCCTGAACCCTAAAATCCTGAACCCTAAACCTCAAACCCTGATAGCCCAAGCTTGTGAATTTAGGGGTTAGGGTTCAGGGACTGGGGTACAGGGGTTTAGGGCTTAGGGCTGGAGTTTAGGGTTTATAGGGTTGAGGGTTTCGAGGGGATTTAGGGCTTTGGGCTTGGGGTGTGGGGTCATGAAAGCAACCGCCGCGTGTCCAGTGTTCGAACTCCCAAGACCCCACTTCCCCCCTAGCATATCTGCAGGAGATAACTTCCAAATCCAGGCCCGACTGCCAAGCTTGCACCCCTGAAAACCCCCCATACCAGCATGACCCCTCCCCCCGCCCCCCCCCCCCACACCCTTAACTTGTTAACCCTGCGCCCTCGAACCATAAGCCCTAAAAGCCCTAACTCCCCTGAACCCTAAACCCTAAACCCTAAACCCTAAATCCCTCAACAAAGCCCTAACCCGAACAGGGTCCCCCGGCCGTTCTGGAAGATTGGCGAGATCCAGACTCCGCGACAGCCTAGGCCTCCCGGAGGACTGGGTTTTGGGGCTTAAACTGCTGAGGTTGAGGGTAACTAGGGTTTAGGGTTTAGGGTTTAGGGTTTAAGGTTTAGGGTTTAGGGTTTAGGTTTTAGGGTTTGGGATGCCTGCGGACCATCCAGGCGACAGGCACACCAAGTCGCTCACAGGCTTACAGGCTTTGGGGTTTTCAAGACTATTTTAGCCTAATGGCAGCTGAGTACGCCATGACACTCCAAAACCTTACGCCCACATAACCCGAGCACGGGTGAACTCTGCCAAGCACTTCCGACGCGCCTTTGATGTAGTGGAGCTTCTGCGTCATGCCCGCGAAATCTCCTCCTGTGCGGCAGATGTTGGGTCCTGGCCTTTCGGTTCTCGAGGTCACGAGGAAGAAAAAGGAAACTCGTACGAATTGAGGGAAATTGAAAGAACCGGGTGTGCACAAACTGTTGTCACAACAGGGGCCACGCCAAGAAATTGACCGCCTTAGACTTACACTAGCTTTCAGCGCAATCTCTCCGTGACGGTAGGTCATGTCGCGGACGTCGAAGCCACCGTCGAAAAGCTCGTTGTTCCTGTCAGGTCGAGCTCGCGATGTTGTTAACAGTTAGTCTAGCATTTTCATGGACAGAGCAGTCAAATTGGCAAAAGTTCTTTGAAGAAGCCCTACTTCTGAGGTCGGCGCAACATAGAGTACGTGGACCGCTTCGGCTGCAGCGCAGCCGTCGTGGTGCGACAAGCCGCTTCAGGGTTCCGGTCCAAGGAGAACTATAGGCTTCACGTCTTTGGCTTCAATAAGGAGATCGCAGCACCTGGCCACGATCCATTCCCTAGGCAAAACCCAACACATCCCTGCGGATTCAGAGCCCTGCACCCAATGTACACTTTTTTAACAAACAGCCCCTAAACCCTAAGCCTACGTAAACTCCACGCCTCTCCAAAACCTCACTTGCACACGGCCCGAGTCTGAGCCGGATAACAGCCATAACGTGACCGCTAGCCGTCTATAGCAGCCAGGAAATATGGGTTGTTGGGTTTTGGGGCATCAAGGAAGCACTTCTCCTGTGTGTCTAGGGTTTAGGGTCTGTAGGGCTTAGGGAGTGTCATGGCAGCCCGTGGGTCGATCGCTTGCGGGAGGCGTTGCGCTGCGACCGTTAGGTTTGCGACAGCCCAGGGAGCGTGCGTGGCTCCGATTCGCGGATGAAGAAAAATGAGTTCAAGCCATGTGCCCCCCTGCAGCAGGCCCCGAACTAGAGCCAGAGGATTGCCTCCCGTGTACTCCCACTCAAGGGAGGTAAGGGACCACCGGTCGGGCCCATGTAAGCTACCCTTAGACATGTCAACATCCACTTAGCGCCTAGCCCGCTTAAGCCCTAAAATCTTAAACCACCCCATACCCCAAAACATGGACGACTTACTTAAACCCTAAAGATTGGGATGTTCCACCCTTATACTAAGTCTTTAATAGGGATTATAGTGGGGGGGTACTATAATCCCATTAAGGACTGTTAGTATACCCAGGAGGAACATGCCAACCTAAAGAGGAACCCCAACCCCCCCCCCCCTCCCCCCACCTTAAAGAAAGGGCGCCACATAGCACCAGAAAGGTTGTGCTTACGAGGTCAACTCCTACCCAGCAGGTCGGAGAATCGATTCCCTGAAGCCCTAAACTTACATCTCAATCCCACAATGTCCCTAAGACACGAATGACGGTTTCAGGTTCAGGTTTAAAGCATGAGCAACGCCCCTTGTTTTCATGATGAATCAGACTATTGTTCATGCTATTCCACTTGGTACTGGCACTTTTTTCTTTTCACATTCTTAGTGGCATCAGTAGCTGTATCGGTATCACTTGGTCAGTTCTCAAGATTAGGGTCCGTTCTTGGGGTACCCTAAATAAGAGGGCCCTCCTTATAAGAAGGACCCCCAAAAGGACCAGAATTTAGGGAAATCACAACCCTAAACCCTAAACCCTAAACCCTAAATCCTAAACCCTAAACCCTAAACCCGAATCCAGTCGTAGGTGTTTAGGGTTTAGGGTTTAGGGTTCAGGGTTCTCCGTTCAGGGTTTAGGGAAAACCCGTAACCCTAAACCCTAAACCCGTACCCCCTCCATCCCTAGATCCACCCGGGCCCTACCATCGCACCTGGGATCGCCATCAACAAAACCTCAGCGGCTTGGGGCTTAGGGTTTAGGGTTGTGTCGGACCAGAAAAATATCTGTATGAAGCACAACCGTTTGGGAACCCCCCTGCCGATATTCTAGGGTGGAGGTTTTAGGGTTTAGGGGTAGTCCATTTTGCCAGCGCAGACCCCAAACTTCCGAGCATTCCAAGAGCTCCAGGGGCACACCAAGGCCACTCCAACTGCACAGCCTATGCATCCCGAATCCTAAATCCGAGACCCTATAAACCCTAAGTGAAACCCTAAACCCTATCCAATGACCTGAATCCTAAATTCTGAACCCTATAAACCCCGGACCCTGAATCCTATAAGCCCTAAACCCTAAACCAGGAGGGAGGGTCCCCACAGCATTTCTTTTCTGCATTTCAGAAGGAGCATACTTGGAGGTTCAGGGTTTAGTAACCCATCATAAGTGTAGTTATAGCCCACACACATGTGCCCATTAAGTACCCTAAAAGGGGTTATGACTGGGTTAGAAGTACAAGTCTACTTGGGTTACGGTTTACGAAGCACCATGAACCTCCAGATTTGTGCAGGGACCGACCGGCAGGTCTCCTGAACGGACGCCAGGCGAAGGCCGAACCTCTGCTGAACCTCTCTTCAATACACACAAACCTTAATGGCCCAAGTTTAGGGTTTAGGGTTTAGGGTTTAGGGTTTATGCTTGATGGCCCAAGTCGGCCGCAAGCTTCTCAGCCCACCCCCGAGGTCGGCGGCCCATCTCGGGGAGTTCGGGGGTATAGCAGCTCTTGGCCGCAGAGTTTCAAGGTGAAAAGCTTGACGGCCGTCGGAAAGCCCAATGCTTTGCAGGCTCTAGGGTAGGGGTTTAGGGGTTTTAATGTTAAGGTGATGCTAATTGGCTTCAGCAGTTCTGGGTCCCAGGTGTGATCGAAGCTTTTTACCAAGGCACGATCGGTAATCAGCTGGTAGATGGAGAACGCCCGCCAATCCTGCGACACCCTAAGCCCTGAAACCCAAACCTCTCTAAGGGTAGTTACACGGTCCCTTCTTGATAAGGGCCCTTCCTTATATACGGTTTAGGGTTCAGGGTTCAGGGTTTAGGGTGTGTGTTGTAAAGGCGGTCCCTTAGTCATCACGAGTTACTACCCCCCTCTATACTACCCCCCCTAGGTCCCCCGCCCCCCCCAGAATCAAGGCTAATTTGAAACCAGCAGGCCTAATTAAGGTTATTGAAAGGGGGAACCTACGGGGGGCAGGTAGTGGGGAAGCGCATGAAGTAAGGGCCCTTCCTTACATACCTTCTTAAAGGGCGGTGGCCGCTTTATCTGCCTCAATGTAGCCCCTAGATACCCTAAAAACGAACCCCGAATACATGCCTCTAGAAAACAGAAGCCCTTCTTAAATCGACCACCAACCCATATAATTTTATACCCCTGCGTACCCTATACGACCCAGAAGGCCCATACTTCAGAACCCTTTAATGAAGTTAAGGGACCATGGACCATGTAACGGCCCTTGGATGCTCTAAGTTACCAGGAACCTAAGGGTCTACTAAACCCAATGCAAGAGTAGCCTAGGAGTAAAAAGGGTGCCATGTTTGGTTTGAAGGGCCTTACAAGGGAAACCCAAAAGCCTCAAAAAACGGGAACAAGGGCCTATACTCTGCATCCGCGAAAGAGACCCTGACCCTGAGCCCGAAACCGAATCTTGGACACATGTTCTGCAGCTTTTACCCAACACTCCGGTGCTCTTAAGGGCTTATAGGGCTCGACTCTCCAGCGCTGTCTCAACCGAGTGCTACTCATCCTACGCTGAGGGTTTAGGGTTTAGGGTTTAGGGTTTAGGGTCTAGGGTCTAGGGTCTAGGGTCTAGGGTCTAGGGTTTAGGGTTTAGGGTTTCGGGGGCAGGGTTTAGGGTTTAGTTTAGGGTTTAGGGTTTAGGGTTTAGGGTTTAGGGTTTAGGGTTTAGGGTTTAGGGTTTAGGGTTTAGGGTTTAGGGTTTAGGGTTTAGGTCTTAGGGTTTAGGGTTTAGGGTTTAGGGTTTAGGGTTTAGGGCGCCCTTGGCTCTTACCCAAAGTTCCCTGAATCCGTTTTTGGGAGGCAATCCTCCACTTGGAGCAGCTACCCCTGAGATGCAAGACCTCACCTTCATGTGGGGTATATATTTCTTGTACCCCCAGAAGGACACCCGGTATATACACTCACCAATATTAAAAAGGAACCTTATGTACACTCACCAATAACAGAAATATAAACCCTGCTTCATGTGAGGGGACAACCCAAAGCCTGCAAGTGGGTTCAGGGAACTAGGGAACTAGGGGTTTAGGGGTTTAGGGGTTTAGTGTTTAGGGTTTCAAGAGGGCCTGAATCCGAAAGGCAGCCCCAGGCGGCCTGGGGCGAAGGGAAATACGTGTGATTCTCCCAGCGTCCGAAGTACTGCTCCGGCTGGTGCCTCGCAAGGGTTTAGGGTTTAGAGTTCGGGGTTTAGCGTTTAGGGTCTAGGGTACAGGGGGTAGGGCTACGATCACCCTAAACAAAATCCTAGGGATTCCTAGCGTCTTGGGTTGAGGGAAGCCCCAAGAATCTCAAAGCCAACGTAGTAGAAATAATGAGGAGCGAGGGGGGGGGGGGGGGGGCACCTTCGAAGTGATGCTTGGGGTTTGGGGTTTGGGGTTTAGAGTTCAAGGGTTAGGTGGAAAAACAAAGAAAGAAAACAAATAATACATGTATATATAGTGTATATAGATATATATAGAGTATATATATAGTATATATATATATATGTATATAGTATGTTATATAGAAAAAATGTATAGCTCGCCCCCCCCCCCCCATGATCCACACATTTGGCCTCGGGAAGGGGGTTTTGGGAGGGGGGGGGACTCCAGACTCCAGATTTCCAGAAAAAATCTGGAGTACCCAGCCCCGGACTCCAGACTCCAGATTTCTAGAAAAAATCTGGAGTACCCCCAGACTCCAGACTCCAGATTTCCGCACCTCCAGACTCCAGACTCCAGATTTCCAAAAAAAATCTGGAGTACCGGGACTCTGGACTCCAGATTCTGGAGTCTGTAATCTGGAGTCTGGGGCCGCGAGTACTCCAGATTTTTTCTGGAAATCTGGAGTCTGGAGTCTGGGGTCCCGGTACTCCAGATTTTTTCTGGAAATCTGGAGTCTGGAGTCCGGGGCCCGGGTACTCCAGATTTTTTCTGGAAATCTGGAGTCTGGAGTCCGGGGCCCGGGTACTCCAGATTTTTTCTGGAAATCTGGAGTCTGGAGTCCGGGGCCCGGGTACTCCAGATTTTTTCTGGAAATCTGGAGTCCGGGGCCCGGGCACTCCAGATTTTTTCTGGAAATCTGGAGTCTGGAGTCCGGGGCCCGGGTACTCCAGATTTTTTCTGGAAATCTGGAGTCCGGACTTCCAGATTTTTTCTGGAAATCTGGAGTCTGGAGTCTGGGGTCCCGGTACTCCAGATTTTTTCTGGAAATCTGGAGTCTGGAGTCCGGGGCCCGGGTACTCCAGATTTTTTCTAGAAATCTAGTGTTTAGGGTTTAGTGTGTAGGTTTCAGGGTTTAGTGTTTTGTGTTTAGGGTTGAGTGTTAAGTTTAGGTTTTAGGGTTGAGGGTCAAGCGGCTCGGCTAAAACCCAAATAAAACCCTAAACTCTGAAATCCAAACAGTAAGCATCTGAAACCCCGACGGGCTTTTGGTTTCAGGTTTAGATTTAGTAGGGCTCGAGGTTCTGGCCTTGGGGTTTGCTGTTTAGGGTTTAGGGTTTAGTGTCTAATGTTTAGGGTTTAGTTTGAAATGTTTAAGGTTTAGTTTTTGGGTTAAGTGCTTCAATGTTTAGGGTTTCGTGCTAAGTGTTTGGGGTTTGTGCTAAGGGCTTAGTGTTAAGTTTTTAGGGTTAGTGTTTAGGGTCTAGTGTTGAGGGTTTCGGGTTTGGGTTTTAGGTTAAGGGTTTTAAGGATTTTTACAAATTTAAATGATCTGGGGAAGGCACCGGGGCTGCCCCAGACCATTGACAACTTAAAAAATCATTCTGTTTAGGCTTTAGGGTTTAGTGTGTAGGGTTTAGTGTGTAATGGTTAGGGTTTAGTTTGTAGGGTGTAGTGTTTAAGTGTTTAGGGTTTAGTGTTTAGTAAGGGTTTAGTGCTTAAGTGTTTAGGGTTTCGTGTTCAGTGTTTGGGGTTCGTGCTAAGGGCGTAGTGTTAAGCTTTTAGGGTTAGTGTTTACGCTGGTGTTTAGGGTTCAGTCCTAAGGGTTTCGGTTCTTTTTGGGTTAAGGGTTTAGTGTGTAGGGTTTAGTGTGTAATGTTTAGGGTTTAGTTTTTAGGGGTGCTTAGGTGTTTAGGGTTTCCTGTTAAGTGTTTGGGGTTTGTGCTAAGGGCTTAGTGTTAAGTTTTTACGGTTAGTGTTTAGGGTCTGGTGCTGAGTGTTTAGGGTTTAGTAGTGCTTAAGTGTTTAGGGTTTCGTGTCAAGTGTTTGGGGTTTGTGGGCCTAGTGTTAAGATTTTAGGGGCAGTGTTTAGGGTCTAGTGCTGAGTGTTTAGGGTTTAGTGTGAAGGGTTTCAGTTTGGTTTTTTGGATTTAGGGTGTTAAGGATGTTTACTAGTGTTCAGGGTTTAGTGTGTAGGGTTTAGTGTGTAATGTTCAGGGTTTTGTTTTTAGGGTGTAGTGTTTGAGTGCTTAGGGTTTCGTGTTTAGGGTCTAGTGAGTCTAGTGCTTAAGTGTTTAGGGTTTCATGTTAAGTGCTTGGGGTTTGTGCTAAGGGCTTAGTGTTAAGTTTTTGGGTTAGTGTTTAGGGTCTGGTGCTGAGTGTTTAGGGTTTAGAGCTAAGGGTTTCGGGGTTGGATTTCAGGGTTAAGGGGTTTGAGGGTTTTTGCAAGTTTACATGATCTGGGGAAGGAGGCACTGGGGCTTCCCCAGACCCACCTAAACATTAAAAATCCTTAAAATCTTATAAAATCGTTAAGCTTCTGTTTAAGCATTCTCAGGATTATGAAGGTTTTAAGCCGTTTAAGCCTTTTAAAGACCTTAAATTGCTTACGTATTTAAGTGGCTGCACTTTGCGGATTTTAGAGATTGTTGAAGTTGCCAATGGTCTGGAGAAGCCCCGGTGCCTTCCCCAGACAATATAAAATTTTTAAAATCCGTAAAACCCTGAAATTCTTACAGTTGTAAATGGCTGTCCTTTTAAAGTTTAAAGATTTTAGGATGTTCAATTCTAAAATCCGTAACTTCCTTAATTTTAAACGGCTGCCCGTTTTAAATTTTAAAGAATTTTAGGCTTTTAAGGGATAAACGTTTCGAGGTTGTTAAGGGCTTTAAAGCCTGTTAAGATCCTTTAAATCTTGAAAATTTTGAAAGGCTTTAAATACCTTAAAGCCCTTCAAATTTGAAAAGGGCTGCCCCTTTTAAGGATCTCTAAAATTGCAAATGGTCTGGGGAAGCCCCGGTGCCTTCCACAGATCATCTAAATTTTTACAAACCCCTAAAACCTAAAACCAACCCTGAAAAGCCTTAAGCTTCTAAATGGCTACCCTTCTAAAATTTTATAGAGCCGCATAACACAAGTTTCAGAAGCATAATGCACATAAAAACACTAGTGTTTTTATAGAGGATAATATAATAGAGCTTTTTGTATTCCAGTGCAGTTTTTACTGCATTTTTCCGGTGAAAAAACAGAAAATCAGACAAAGACGAAGACAGGAAAACCATAGGTGTGGATCATGGGGGGGGGGGCTGACCAAAAATGTATATACATATACATATATATATATATGTATCAGGGCGACCGAAATCAGGGCAGTGCTGGTCATCCCAGTCTTGTGTATTTCTTGAAGGCTGAGGAATCCTGTAGAGCCCAGGACATGGCCTAGAGGTGATTAGGCTTGAGGGCGTGGGGTTGAAGCTTGCGGGTTTAGGGTTTAGGGTTTGGGGTTTGGGGTTTGGGGTTTAGGGTTAGGGTGTAGGGTTTTGGGGTGCTTGGGGTTTGGGCTTTGGGCTTGGGGGTGCTTTCAGCTCCGGGTTTCGGGTTTAGGGCTTCGGGTACCTTCAGAACAACAAATGGCCACGTTTGTGGTAGTAGACTCATTTAGTATGATGCATTTAGGTGCATAACCGCAAGCCCGATCCCCTAAGCCGCCATCTGAACAGCACGCCGCACCTCGTCTCGAAGTTGATGTTCCTTGCTTTCGAGGTTCAGTGCTTAGGGCAGGGGGTCCTAGGCGTTTTCTAGGCTGGCCCTCTTCTCAAACCCTCTGAAAGCCTGCTCCTGAATAAGGCCCTCTTAGATGTCATCCCAACTGTCAGTGCTTCGTGTCTAGTGTTCTTGACCCTGGCACAAGGTTCCCTGAAACCTGACTCCCTCGCCTCTGAGCCTGAGCTCCAACACTGAACCCTAAACCCTAAACCCCAAACCCTAAACCCTGAATCCTGAACCCTAAACCCGCCAAGGCAGACAAAAAAAAACAACACGCACCCATGAAGAACTCCGTGGCTTGGGGCGTATTATAGACTATCCGGGTCCCTAAACCCTAAACCCTAAACCTTAAACCCTAAACCCTAAACCCTAAACTCCAAACCCTAAACCCCGAAAGCCTGCTTTTGCTCCTGCCTCGCGTCCTCCACACTCTCAGCTTGGCCGTATACATACATACATACAGACATACATACATACACACACACACACATACACACATACGTATAGATGTATGTATGTATGTATGTATGTATGCTATGTAGAGACAGGGATCCTTCATATAAATGTGCCTCAAGGGATACTCTTTCACTCAGGGACATCTGGGTTGGCTCGCCTGGGAACGCCCACCATGCGCTGTTCCAGCCAGGACGTCCATGTGGCGCGAAGGCCACTCCAACTGGTTAGTAGTCAGCTTGGACTGGGACCTTCAAGTCCGCAAGATTGCAGAAGCAGAGGCCGATGAGAGCCCCGAGGGTCGATGCGATGACGATGACGCTGGCGCGGTCGGGGAGTTCTCTCAAGTGAGACATGTTCCAGAGCACGACAGCCAGCAGCGCGCCGCCTTCCGGATGGCCGCCGACCAGGGCCCCAGCAAGAGCAGCAGACGCGGCGCAAGCCACAGTTCCAGCAACTGAGACGCCGCCCCCCGCCATCTGAAGGTTTGCGAAGTTCGGGGTACCTTATTGGGGTCCTTGTTATAGGGGAATCCTATTCGGGGTCTATAAAATAGGGCCTTAATTCGGAGTCCGGTATGTTCGTAAACCCCCAACTTGCAAACGTAGCAAGAGCCGGGCCCTGAGCAGCCGAAAGCTCGCGGATGAGCAGGGCTTCATGCCGAGACCCAAAACTACCCCCACTATGACCTTAAGCCCTAAGCCCTAAACCCTAAAGGCCCTAAACCCTAAACCCCTTATTACCAACCCCCCCCCATGACCCCTTTACCCCCTTTTAACCCCTCTTACCCCCTTGTACCCCCCCTTCAACCTCAGACCTTCACTGAGGGTCTCGTTCGTACTGTAACCAGATTATAGCTAAGAGTTCCCGCGTCTTGGGGCTTAGGATTGAGGGTTTATAGGGTTTAGGGTTTCGGGAAACCTAGAACCAAAAACAGGCAAAAGGGTACCGCTGGGCTACCGAGTGAGGGTTTCGGGCTGAAGAGACGCAGTCACAACTTGTGATGTGCTGCCGTGGCGCAGCACATTATGTGCTGCCGTGGCGCTGGACGTCACCGTGCTCACTGAAAGAGATTCATTCGGGGGGGGGGGGGGGGACAAGATCTTTTCATCATGAGGAGATCCCCCCGCAAAGAGAACCTATGCTAGAACAACCCACGTACCGTATCCTCCCGTGCTTTGTGCCCCCAACCTCTGCCTCACAAAATCCTTCCTCAATGACTGCCGCAGGATCGCGCCACACAGCCAGCATCAAAGCCAAATGGGTACTCTGAACTAGGGTCCCTTTTGAGGTCCTATACACAGTAGGCACACTGTAGGCACCCCAAAATACAAACCACGAAAGAAACCCGTCCGAATTCAGAACTACGCAAATGAAGTTGATGACAAGGCTTCAGGGCTTGTGGACACACACACACAAAGTGATACCCCGTCCTTTGAAGGAAAGAGATGTTTCAAAAAATGCCTACAATTACCTTCTTTTGCGGGCCTTTCAAAAGTTGAGTCATCATGGCCCCTAAACCCTAAACCCTAAACCCTAAACCCTAAACCCTAAAACCTAAACCCTAAACCCTAAACATTCCATGTTGGGTCGGTTTTGGGGATGATCTTCGGCGGCTGCGGGGCAGCTAAACCCTAAACCCTAAACTCTACCCTAAACCCTAAACCCTAAAGCCTAAACCCTACACCCTAAACCCTAAACCCCCAAAATCCTAAACCCAAGTTGCAATGCAAGGCTCCACGCTGCATTTTCTGCAGTCCGTGGCGCAGACGTTACCAGCACCACCTGCAGTGTCTCTCTCTTTTTGCTTTTTTTAGGGTTTAGGGTTTAGGGTTTTAGGGTTTAGGGTTTAGGGTTTAGGGTTTAGGGTTTAGGGTTTGGGGTTTAGGGTTTAGGGTTTAGGGAAGGCTGCAAAGGCCTCGGCTTTTGGGTTTGCATTTTATTTAGGCTCTAGGGCTTGTGCACCTAAACCCAGAAAGCCCCCTTTGAATCCCGAAGCTTAAGCCCCGAAACCTTCTCGTTCCGGGGGGGGAGGGGGCGCAAGGGACCAGAACTCCAATGGTTGCGGGAGGGGCTTTAACAAATCAGGGGAAGGGATTTACACTCCAAACCCTGAACACAAGCTCTAAACGCTACAGCCCTGAACCCCAGGGTTGGAAGGTTTAGCTTTCACCTGTCCCAACACGATGCTTTCATCACCAGCGCTTCATAACCAAGCCATGAGGGAACCTATCTACCTAAACCCTAACCCCTAAGCCCTGAACCCTAAACCCAGAATACCAGAATGCACCAAGCTTCTCTGCTCAATGGTGGGTCTTTGCGAGTGAAGCCCGTGTGGTGCCAATGCTTCTCAGTTGTTTAGAGCTTAGCCGGAACCCAAAACCTTTAGGGCGTCTCCTAAACCTTAGCTCTAACACCATAAAAACCCTAAAACCCTAAAGCCCTGCAGGGTAAACCCTAAACCCTAAAACCCTTCTGTGTCCTCAGGTGAAGAGGTAGCTTTCCGGAACGGGGGTGTCACGGTTCCGGCATCACTTGGGGTTTTGGTTTAGGGTTTAAGGTTTAGGGTTCAGGGTTAGGATTTCAGGGGAGGCCCTAAAGCCTTACACCCTCTAAGCCCCCAAGCACGCAATGAGGCGACTTGCGCATGCCCTAACCTTTAGGGTTTAGGGCTTCGGGTTTACGACTCAGACTTTGGAATTGAGGGTTTGAGCTTAACGTTGTTCTGTAGTGAAGGGGTCTTGGGGCGTTGGCTGAGGCTTGCTGGGCTGTGTGGATGCATGGGTTCAGGTTGCTGGGGGTTCCGGAGGGGTGGGGGGGGGGGACTCCACATACAGGCCCTCGGGTTGCCTGGATCAGGCTGCGCTGGGGGGTTCGATTGTAGGTTTTACAGTAGGGCTTAAAGTTTCGAGTGGAGGGCTCGGGATCACTGCATAGGGTGAAGGATTCGAGCCTTTCGGGTGTACTTGCAGAGTCTAGGGCGTCACGCGCTTCGTGCGCGTTTGATTGAGTGTGTTCGGCGGTCTGGGTCCCGTGCCAAGCATCCCAGCAGCACACCGGCCAAGTGGCACCTCAGCTTAGAGGGGAGGGTTTGGGGCGTACCGTCAACGCTGCAAAAACAAGAGCCCGAACAAAACAACCAGATATGCACAGACGCGCACGCAAATACATGCACGCAAACACACGCATGCGAACACACGCACAGGCGCACCCCCCAGCCCTCGGAACCCCCCACCCGAAAAAACAAACGCGCACACCCACACCCACACCCACACACACACAAACAAACAAACAAACAAACAAACAAACAAACAAACAAACAAACAAACACACACACACAACAACAACAACAACAACAACAACAACAACAACAACAACAACAACAACAACAACAACAACAACAACAACAACAACAACAACAACAACATTTCATTTTCATTTCGAACGCATGTGCGGGTTATGTCCCGCACCTTGGCGGGCATCGAGGGTGAAAATTAAGTGACCTACTCGTTCGGGACCTGGTCTGTTTCGATGTCCTGGCCATTGTAGCCAGGCGGGTTGCGCTTCTGTACACTTCTCTGCGAGATTGGTCCTCAACCTCAGCAGGCAAGCTGGCGGGCAGGCCGAGTCTGGGGGGCATCAGCTTAGCAGGCTGGCGCTTGTGCATTATAAGGCATGGAGGCTTTTCTTCTGCAGTGCGAGCAGTGGTCTGGAGGTGTGGTTAAGTCCAGAATTCGGACTAGAGGAACTTAGGGATTTGATGGTTCAGTTTGCTGGAGGCGACCTCACTCGCATACTGGAACCAGGCTGGTTGTCCGATGTGGGGACGCCAGAATGACAGCTTCTCGAGCTCGAAGGAGGGACCGAAGCCGTCCACGATGAGAGGAGGTGAGCATCTTGAACACTATTGCATAGGGCTTGTGCTCTTCGTAGATGTCATCATAGAGCGGATTGATGATTTGATAGAAGCGGAGGGCCATGCTGTTCTGGAAGTCTTGAGAATGATCCTCAGGGTTAGGAATGCCAGCATTAGCTTGAAATGCAGAGTTGACTTGCTTTAGCAGGGCATCCTCGAAGAGCTCCAGTAGTTCACCTCGCGAGATAACCGTGTCCGCGATCAAGGATTGAATCCAAGAAACTTCCTCTGCATTGATTTCTCGAAGCAGCCACTGCCTGTACGTGACCAAATCTTCGCGAATTTGGTCCTGGTAGTGAGTAAGATGAGGCAGCAGAGCCAGGAGATGTTGGTCGTAGGACAAACCATTGAGGTGATGGTCCTGATGTTGAAAGCGCCATCCATTCTTAACTGGCGATGCCCCTTCGGCGGAAGAAGAGACTTTGAGCAGCTGCTGCACCCGGTATACTGTGGAGGCTCGCCTTAGCGCCTGCAGGTCGAAGTATTGAAGGTCCAGTTGCTTGTCATCGTGCAGACGAAGATTGACGGGGAAGTAGTCCGAGCCCTGTCCTGGAGCATACGATGGCTGTGACTGCTCAATGCCTGAGAGTAGGCGTGGAGTTGACGATCGCATGAGAAGGTGTAGATGCGACAGGGCGTTAGCAATCATAAAGTGCACCTCACCTTGGCCGAAGTGGCGCGTCAGGTACGTCCAGATGCGCTGGGTGGTAGGTTCCGCATCTTCGAGCTGGAAGGAGTTCTGGCCAGGGCCATCGTTGGTGTAGTCTCGAATCGCCTGAGAGATGAAGAGGAGCTGGCGCTTCTGATGGTACGTCAGAGTAGGAGAGCGAGGCTCTGTCAGCATCATCTCTTCATGCTTCCGTTTTGCGGCCAAGTTTCGAGGTGCAGTTTTGGGAAGGTAGAGCCGCAAGTCTCCCATGTGCCGGTGAACTTTCTCCGCGAGCAGCTTCAAGAAACTGCAGGTGCGCGAGGCTATCCGTATCTGGCGGTTCAAGTGTGGGATCGCTTCTCCCGCAGGGGTGCGTGAGGATGCCAGGTCCAGATTGCTTGCTGCGGCGGCACCAGATGGAGTTGTAGGGTAAACCGGCAGCGGTAGGAATAGAGACTCAAGAAGTACCTCCATTGCCTGTTCACGGCTGAGAACGGGGTGAAGGTCTGCCATGGGCCTAGGTGGAAGTTCGCCAGGAGGGGACCTCACTCGTGCGAACCTGAGGGAAAACTTTGCGAGAAGAGCTGTGCTTGTGAGGCTTGACGTGGAAAGATTGGAGCTACAGGCTTTTTCCCCGCAATTTGGGAAGATAGTGCAGCGAACAGGAGGGGACCTCACTCGTTTGGAAGTCTGTGGTGCTCGGATGGTCCCTAGCCCCGAATTTTGTCGTCTAGCGTCTGTTTCAGACGTTGACGATGTCGAACGAGGAGCAGTGTCAGCGCCACAGCAAAGTTCTTATAGTCATCATAGACCTGGTCGTGGAGCGGGGAAAGAATTGTGATGACTCCTTGTGCCTGCTCGTAATCTCCTTGGTCTCCTCCATATCTGTGTCGTAT